AACATGATGAACGTCGTGGTCTGTGGTGTCCTGTGAATGCCCCTCCTGTTTGGGTTTGCTTTCCGTTGTGCTGTTGCTGTTGTCAGTAGTCGGTGTTATTGTTGGTTGAGCTAGCAACAACATGTAACCTTTCTACATTTGTGGTATTCGCCCAGAACTTTGGTCTCTGGCGCCACTGTAATAAAAACCGAGCTGGCGGAGAAAGGCAGCTAACGGTACGAGACCCCAGAGAGATCATGTGGCAAAACGAGCAGATGATTCGAACTAGGCTACAATTCTGCCCTTGCTGGTTGTGTTGTGTGACTCAACCTCTCCTCTAAAAAAACGCGCGACCTTTTCGCAACGTCACGACAGGCCCGGTACCGTCGGAGCTCGGACGCCTCCGGGTGCTGACGGAGCTCACGATCGGAAGGAACCGCCTCACGGGTAAGAAGGCCGTCGATTCCGCATCTTTCGTGGTAGCCGGAAGTTGCGGGGGGCGGGGGGGGAACCGTGCACTAGTCGTGAGAGCGGGAGGTGACAAAGAAATATCGCCCTCTTGTCGTGATAGCGGGGAAGAATATCTCTCTCCAGTCGTGACCATTCTGGAAACTGCGGAGAAAATTATTTCAACGGTCGGAACAATTTTGGTCGTAGGTTTCGCACCTCGGGGGTTTTTCGTGTATATTGTGGGTTTGTCGTTGCAATGTCGACGCTGCTATTGTCCGCGGTCCTTCCAACAGGGACGAAAAGGGCCTACATGAGTCTACCGTTTTAACGATTAACCCATTCGTAGTGTATGTTTCGTAGCCGAACGCCGTGTTGCATGCAGAGAGCGTGCTGATGCACTGGTACTACGCGCCGCGGCCATCTCCCGTGTGACGAACTGCTCGAGACTTGTGTATTGCAACCACAACAACAAACACAACAATCACGCCTGGGTTCGCGTGCGATAGGCGGCATCCCGGAAGAACTCGGCAACCTCGACAGACTGATTGTGCTGGATCTCAGCAGCAACTATCTTGAAGGTATGCTATGGTTACTGTTGCTGCTGTTGTTATTGGGTGTCGGTGTTGCTGGTGAAATGTTGTTGCTGGTGTTGAGTTGCTCTGGCGCTTGTCACTGGCGTGAGGTGGGGAAGAAATGATTCCCATATTCGTGTTTCGACGGGAGGAGCCCTCTTCTTGGCAGAACGTTCGAAGCCGAAACGTGAACGTCCGGCAAAGAGGCGTTGTTATCATTCATGACAAACGCCCGCCACCTCCCCTCTTATGGTAGACCTCATTGTACGCTTCTGCGTAGGATGCCCAACAAGTGTATTCTGCTTCGGACTGGAATCCCATGCAAGGGCGGGTGAACGCACATAATATGTTCGCGACCGATTTTGAAATATCGATTGCTCCACACCCAAGACGCTTCCACTACGGCGAAAAGGAAGGTGTTGGAAAGATATCGTCGAGGACTTTGCTTGCACATGTCGGTCGGGTTTCACACCCCCTCTCTTGTGCAACAATCGATCTTGCAAAAAATATCGAACGATCTGTGGGTTAGTCCTTCAAAGCAAGGCCCTATTTAGCTCACATCGTTGGTCAAGGGTGTCGGTGTTGTTGTTGCTGTTCATCTTGGTGTCGTCGTTGCTGTTCGTGCTCTTCTTGGTTTCTTAACGATTATCAGGGTAGTGGTGAACTCTAGCGTGTAGAGTATCTCTTCCGGTGTAGGTTCCCGCTTCCGACACCAACGCCGCTTCAACCCTCGCCAAGCAGACGACACACCCTCCCGTGTGCGATATCCATTGGCTTCGTGAGATTCAACTAGGAGAAACTGGCAAACATGGAACACCATACAGAGCAGCGCAGCAGCACTCACCGCCGTCTCCCTCCCCCACGATCCCCGCTGCCACACGGTCCCCTGCGTCGACACAGGAGACATCCCTCTAACTCTTGGAAACCTGACGTCGTTAGAGTACCTCGAGTTGGACGGGAACGCCGACCTCACAGGTATAGCGGTGCTTGCACTTCATGCTGTTCTTGTTGCTGCCTGCAGTTGCTGCTGATTGCTGCTGCTGCTGCTGCTGCCGACCCGGTTGTTGGTGATGTAGTATCGCTTCCTGTAGAGTATTCCTCACCAATTGGTTTCCACTTTTTTCAGTGTTTGCAGTTCCCGTTCACGGTGTCCTGATTTGTTTTTTGTCGATGATCCTTCAGACAAGAGTTTGGCCGCCACAAGCCCACCGCTCACAAGGCGCACGGGAGAGTGCGGTAATTTTGCTCTCTTTACGAAACCACCACCCAGCAAATCTATCGCAGTATGCTCGACGTTTCACCCACGAGGTGTGAGAACCTTCCCGGGCCACACAGATGTGATCGCGAAGATATTGTTGCCCCAGCATGATGAAGTCGGGGTAACTGGAGACGTCTTGGCCAAGGCAGAGATTCGGCAGCAGGCGGGGGAAAATCAAACGTCGTGAAACGCATGCGGGAATCACCCTTTGGTTTGATGCCGGCCGACTTTTTCTCAAAGCAAGCTACACCTCTTCGAAGGCACGATTACGCACGCACATATGCTGACCGCCCCCCTCCTCCCCCTTCTCCTGCCAGAATCGACACACCTGAACCCCGGGGACCCATCCGCCCGCCCTCCCCGGCTCCTGTTAACAACGCCATCCCCCGCCCTCTGTTGCCTCTGCCGTGCCCGAATCGAAATATTGCCCGCTCGGGCCACCCCCGTGCTGCAACCCAGACGAGCGCATCCTAGCGAATGCGGTCCTACAGCTGTCGCTCGCCGACAGAGCCGTCGTGCGGACGAGTGGCGGCCCAATCGGGTGAAAGAGTTAAGGCAATTTCGAACCGATCTAAAGCGATATAAACATAAGCACCACACTGTTTTCTTGTATACTTGGGGGGGGGGGGGTACTCATTGTCGTGCATGCCGTAGTCATTAGACCATTGACTTGGGGGGGGGTTAATATGTACCTTCGTCGAAACATAGGTATCCTTACTGCCTGTGACTCCTGTCGAGGAAAACGAATCCAGCACCGTTCCAGTCCCTAGCGTAGTCTGGACCCCAGGTATTATGTTCGGTACCATGCATAAGCTGGGAGGGGGTCAAGTTAGATTTTGCGGAGTGCAACCTGTGTCATAGTTCTTGCGCTTCCGAGGAGCCTCTTGCAGTCGGTGAGTCTAGCCCACCCATGCTTGTTTCTGAGGATATATGTGTGTGACGTCCCCCGGATGGGGTGCCGTCGCTCGAGTTGATATTGTGTGCGAACGGCATCGTCTACTCGCTTTCCACACACACACCCGGTCTGGTTTTACACACTCATCGAGTGTGGTATAATGTCGTTCAAACGAAAAGGAAGATGATACAGCATAGTTAGATTATTAGCGGGCGTTCAGTCTTCCTGCTACTCCTTTGGGCCAAGGACGATGACGCTCCCCGTATCGCACGAAACCTGCGTAGCTTCACTACTCCCCGATGGCATCGGGCTTGCCTTTGTGCTGGGTGGAGTGTGGTCGGAGGCATCGATAAGGTATTTATTGGTTGCGAAGAGTCTAAGCCAACACGAAAGCAGGCGACCGTCCCGGTGTACGTGGCAAGAGTCACAACTATAAACGAACGTGTACATGTAGACGAGAGTTGTAAATAGGTGACAATAGTCGTTACTCATCATTCTTCCTCTGGCAATCATGAGGTGCGCAGCTGATGCGCGGGCTGAGTGGTGTTTCCATATTTCTGCCGAAGTGTAGAAAGAGTTTTCGCCTCGATATTTCCATATTTCTTCCAAGGTGCAGAAAGAGTTTTCGCCTCGATATTTCCATATTTCTTCCGAAGTGTAGAAAGATTTTTCGCCTCGATATTTCCATATTTCTTCCGAAGTGTAGAAAGAATTTTCGCCTCGATATTTCCATATTTCTTCCGAAGTGTAGAAAGAGTTTTCGCCTCGATATTTCCATATTTCTTCCGAGGTGTAGAAAGAGTTTTTTCCTCCATACATATTGTATTATGTAAGCCAAAATCGAAGGCAAGCAGCGCAGGGAGGGGGGGTTGGGTAGGAGGCCTCAGGGAGAGGAACCTTTTCTGTGTGACCACGGATTGGAGCCCCGACCTGGCAGAAATGCTGTGAGCGCTGATTTACATTGACGACGAGAAAAAATTACGTTGTAGTTAGTCTAGGAGCGACGGTTCATTGCTGATTTGTGCTTGGCCGAGGATAGACAGTACGGCCCACCTAAGGCGAGTGTATCCCGCTCGCAGCCTTTCGTGATGGTTTTCTAATGGTTTTTTTTTAACATGGTCAGTTGAACAGCAAGTGTTTCGGTCGTACACCGCCAGAAAATGCAGATTGATTGTAGGTCTTTCTTTGAACAGGCGTCGTTAGAACAACTCGATGCACTCTTGTCGACGCACTCTGACGACGAACCGGTTCTTGAAGGGGGAAACGCGAAAGAGGGCGACAAGCAGGCTGATCGCAAGGGGTACCTGGAGCACACCACCCCCCGCCCCCCGCGTCTGGCGCCACGGCTACCGCCGCCGAGCCAACCGTGTTGCACGCCCGCGCGTCCTCCCTTCTACAATGCCGGTCGGACTTGTTCGTAGGACTACCGAATCCCGCCTTTACGTCCACGGGTGGCAATAGGGTGTCGCCGTTTGTCGCAGCCGGGGACATGGCGTCGGAAGCTGGCCCCAGCGAGAGAGTGAGTGGGTGCACGTCGCCATGGTTGAACGAGCAATTAACCGCTGCCGTGCGTTCGATCCTGGGTCGTGGGTAACCAACCCTCTATCAGCTATGCCGCGGCGAACCTCTTTGAGCTCTCGCGAACGACGTCTTCGTGGTCGACCCTGCCGGCTTATTTTTTGTTAGCGACTTGATTGACCTCGCGCTTTCGGGTTCACCGGTCCCCGTGCACAAGGTCCCATGTGTAGTGAACGCAGCGAGTTGTTGTTGTTGTTGTTGTTGTTGTTGTTGTCTTCACAGTAAAAACTGTTCCGTTCTCTCTGCCCAGTGCCTTCTTCTGTCCGTACTATACTAGTCTAACACTTGACGTGGTACCTCGATAAAAACGATGAAGTAACTCCTTGTGGAACCAGCACTCGTTCACGTAGACCCTGCTGTTGGCATCGATGGCGCCGAAGGGGTCCGAAACTTCCTCGCTCGTCTTCGTCTTATTTCTGTGTGCGAGGCCAGTTCAAGCTAAGCTCGTCGTCCACCGAGCCTTGCGTAAGAGGTAGTCTAGAGGTTCATCAAGAGATGGCACGTATCCAAGCCGGTCAGGCGAACACGAGGGTGATTAAATATCCGACCCGCTCGAGGACAGCAAGCACACACCAGTAGCGCAAAACTAGAAGAAACTCCACTTCCCCAACCAACATCTGCCACGTTAGTAGTAGTCCCAGCCCGCCGAGAGACTTCCGTCACGAGTCCAGGGCGGTCGACATCGTTCAGAAAACGCACATGGCACCACAGAGAGACTACCTAGCCGTTCCAGATCACCTCACAGATGATGGCAACTTTTTGTGCTTCGTATTAAGCGGAGGGGAATCCATACAAACACACGTGGCAGGATTTACTACCTCTTGCCCTACGGCAGGCGAGGTCCGTCTGTTTACAGTTCAGGCGTGCGGGTGGATATTCCGTATAGTTTTCGTCACACGCAAAGGAGGGAAAACATGTGCGACGCATCGATCGCAGCCCATTTTACAAAAAGAAAAAACAAAACGCTTGGGGGATTTAGACGCGCCGAAAAAAAAAGCAACAGAACAACCTACGCGTACAAGCGCGGCCAACCAGCAAACCACCACCACCGCTATGTTCGACAGAAGGTGGAAGCACCTACTATTCGTATTCGACAAACTCCTCTGGTCAAATTCGACACCCGCTGCTTGTACGGTTTTCTTCGAACACAGGTTTTGGTTATGGCTTGCCTGAAATCCTAAGGAGTATCAAGAGCTTAGCCCCCACTCCACCCAATCCAAAAACTGAAGCCACAGGCATGGCGGAAATACGGTCAACACATAATAACCCACACAACTACGACGCAGACACATTTTTCATCCCGCTAAAAAAAGGCTGACGTCTTTTCTTTGATCAAGACGGTTTGCGTTGTCGATACAAGATGAAAGAAAACACACCACCAACATCAATTAACTATTCGCAAATTCGAAAGTAGACAGAAAGCCCAACTGAAAATAGTGCGTGTGCGTACCGCGCCGAGACGAGTTGTTCTGGAGTCGACATCCAGCAAACCCGAAATCGAGCCACATGTAGCGTCGCTCTCCACATGTAGTCATACACCCACAAGCAACGTTCTCGCTGCTGAGCACACCTTTAACCCGGCTTTGCAGAGAGAGAGAGAGAGATGCGATGGTCCGTGGTCTTTGGACGTTGGTCAGAATGACGACCACACCCCCCCTCGCTCATCAAGCCTTCCTGACCCCATGAAGAACCACCAACAACAAAATAAAAGCATGTCGAATGTTTCAAACTTCAGGCCGGTAGGGGCTGGGGAAGGTGCTTTGCCACTTCCCTCCCGTAGCTCGTTCAAAGACTTAACACGTGAACTCATGGCCCGGTCCCTCCGACCGCCCGTCTACAGATACATACAATGGGAGTACATGTGCCTGAGCCGGATGGGCAGGCACCACCCATGTGGTGCAACCCGTGAAATCCACGAACAGCCTCATTCTCATGACGTGGCGGTATTTCGAGCACATCTCCGGAACAAAATGGTCATGGTTCCCTAGTGTGCACCCCATTCATACGAGAGCAAACTTGCGGCCATCATGGGCGATCCGCGCCCCCCCCTCCTCGCTTACACGTGTGCTAAATCTCTCCCCCTTCTGCGTACCCAAGACTAAGTCAAGGATAGATGCAAACGGACTCCCGAAGGGGAAATCCACGTTCTCCTGATACAGAGCATCGCTATTGGTGCCAGACAAATGCACGCATGAAGAAGTTCCTCGTTTTGTAGATGTACAGGAGGAACGAATGCACCCGACCCTCGTCGCCCGCGTGAAAACAAAAGCACACACGCCAACGTGCATGCCACCCGCTGCATCACAAGTACATGCTGCGACGTCCTGAACACGAAGGAATGATGAAAAACGAAGGACTAAAACCCAAAAGCAAGAATACCGACAAAAATAACAAAAGATGGCGTATACTAAACATGAACAAAATAAACACCGCGAAGACAGAGCTACCGCTTCAAAATATTTGCCAGCAGCGCCCAGAAAAACGGCCGAAGACGGCTTGGACAGGCGAACACAAAAAACACAGAATCAACGCAAAAAAGTGTGAAGAGAAATAAAGCGACGATGACATCTAATTTATTATTGCCGAACGAAGACGGAGCTCCACAGCACCACAATAAAAAAACACTTGGAACAAAAAATGACACCAAACAGCACTGTGATATCGGGTTCTTCCCAAACATAGCAAAAAGAGAACAATGACAACAAAACGACAAAAACGCTCCCACCTACTATTAACAACATCGCCCTCAGCGCGATACAGCGTCGCATTCAAATCACATTACGATACCAAAAAAATTAAAAACTCGTCCACTACAACAGCAACCCGGCCGGTTTAAGGTCACTCGTTAGTCGAGGAAGACGATTGCTTCGGAAGGCACTCCCATCTCTGCCAGGATAGTCTCCACGTAGAACACGAACACGCTCGGACCGGAAACCACCACCTGGAATGGAATGACCGCATCGGATTCGAACACGACACGAGATTGAATGAATGCAGACGTGGTGCATTGAGACTTGGGGGGGCCACGACCAGACTGGACAAAGAAAAAAAAAGGTGTGATTTGATCAGATTTGACGCTACTTTGTATATAGACACAACGAAGTAGGACGATACGATTGGATATGCTTGGGTTTGGCGCAAATCTTCGCGTTGTAAGAGCGGGGGGGGGGGGGGGGCATCATGGACCAGCATCCCACTCGATCAAGCGACCCCGTTG